GAGATAAGAACACTCCAGTAACCAAGGTATAACACAAACCACTACTGCTACCACCAATAATAATAATGATAAGGGAAATAACAAGGGAAGAGAATACAGTCCCACCCGCCAATACCTATCCCCACCTGAGCAGTGAACTAGCCCTTCCGGGTAACTCTCAGTTACATCCTGGGCAAGACATGCTGTGGTATGGAATACCAATTTGGCTAGTTTGGGTCAGGGGTCCTGCCTCTGCTTCCTCCTGGCTTCCCCTCCTCCCTGGCAGAACATGAGACTCACAAAGTCCTTGGTCAGACTAAACATTTGATCAGTAACTAAAAACATCGGTGTTATCAACGCTGTTCCCAGGCTGAAAGTAAAAAACACAGTGCTGCACCAGCTACTAAGAAGAAGAAAAAATGACTGTTACTGTTGAACCCAGGATAATTATGAAGAGCATTGCCAGCAGGTTGAGGGAGGTAATCCTCCCTCTCTACTCAGCCCTGGTAAGGCCTCATCTGGAGTACTGTGTCCAGATCTGGTTTCCCCAGCACAAGAAAGACATGGAACTCCTGGAGCGAGTCTAGTAAAGTGCTACTAGAACAATTAAGGGTCTGGAGCATCTCTCATATGAGAAAAGTCTGATGGAGCTGGGTTTGTTCAGTCTAGAGATCTGATCAATGTGTATAAGTATCTGAAGGGATGGTGTCAAGAGGATGGGGCCAGACTCTTCTTGGTGGTGCCAGGCAATAGGACAAGAAGTAATGGGCATAAACATAAACACAGGAAGTTCCACCTGAGCATGAAGAAGAATTTCTTTATGTTGAGGATGACTAAGCACTGGAACAGGCTGCCCAGCGGGGTTGTGGAGTCTCCCTCACTGGAGATGTTCAAAAGCTATTTGGACATGATCCGGGGTAACCAGCTCTAGGTGGCCCTGCTTGAACAGGCGGGTTGGAGCAGATGACCTCCAGAGGTCACTTACAACCTCAAACATTCCACGATTTTAAGGACAGGGGCCCCAAGACAGAAATGCATGCAGATGTAGAAACTTGGCTTTTGAGGCAAGCTAAAATGTCCTTAAGTAATCTGTGAATGAGAGTCCACACACTTAAATAACACATTCAAGATACATAGGCTCTAATTTCTTTCAAAGACACAGAGATATACAAGTTAGAGCCACTGCCAAAGCTCACAGTTCCACTTTCAGCCTCACTGCATGTGATATGAACAGTAATTCTGGTACCTTCTGTGTAGAGTCATTATGAAAACATTACCTTTGTGTGCTGAGCCCAGACTGCTGAGCACATCCCATGCTTAAGTTTGCAACCCATCATGTTTCATCTAGACCCAAATCTCATCCAGATCAAATGGCATGTTTCTTCCCCAGTCATTTCCCAGACAAATTATTTGCTAAGGGACAGACTATCCTTTACCTGTTACATCAGTAATACCTTTGTTCCTCTCAATAAACAGGAACAATGACCCAATCAGAGCCAGTAATCTTAACTCCCACAAAATAGAAAAGCTTCCAATAGGTGAAGCTGTGTCATGGTTTAAGCCCAGCTGGTAACCCACAACCACACAGCTGCTCGCTCACTCTCCCCCTTCGATTCCAGAGGGATGGGGAAAAGAATCAAAAGAATGTGAATCCCACGGGTTGAGATAAGAACAGTCCAGTAACTAAGGGATAGTATGAAACCACTACGGCTACCACCAATAATAATAAAGGAAATAACAATGGGAGAGAATACAATTGCTCACCACCTGCTGACTGATACCTAGCCCGACTCAAGCAGCCATCTGGGCTTTCCCGGTAACTCACCCCCAGTTTCTATCCTGGGCATGATGTGCTGTGGTATGGACTACCCCTTTGGCTAGGTTGGGTCAGATGTCCTGTCTCTGCTTCCTCCCGGCTTCTTGTGCCCCTCCTCACTGGCAGAGCATGAGACTGAAAAGTTCTTGATCAGAGTAAACATTATTTAGCAACAACGAAAACATTAGTGTGTTATCAGCACTGTTCTCAGGCTAAAGTAATAAACACAGCACTGCAGCACCTACTAAGAAGGAGAAAACTAACTGCTACTGCTGAACACAGGACAAGCTGGTAAAGGCTAACAACATTATAGAAGTGAAAGAACCAAGACGCTCCTATGGGAAGAACAAAGCCTCATTTCCAGAATAAACTACCCAGTGGAAGTAGTGACAACCATAAAGGCTTTCTACTGAGAGGTTTATTAGGTCTGACAGTCTCCAGAACCAATTATAGTACTAGTAAGATGTAGTTAACCACTTCACCTCCTGGCCATCTCATTTGACTGATTAAAGTCCCTAGAGATGTTTAAGTTAAAATGTAATTTCATTCTGTTGCATGTTCCACCCACCTCCTGCAAATGTCTGGTTCTGGCACAGTACCAAACAGATGAAAAATTTGGTTAAATCAGATTAGAAGAGTTGCAATAATGTGAATTGCACCATGCATACTAAACATAAGTACCCACAAGCACCTAAAGCAGGACTTGTTCCTCAACAGCTTCAAAAAAGTTCACATCACTTCTCATTTCTATATATGAATATGCCCTTATCTCCCCAAAAGGGATGATTTTTGCAGCACTTGTAAGTTCAGTATCAGCATTATGCTAAGGACAGCTACAGAGCTTTCAGTCAGCACAGAATGCAGTTAAAAGACCAAGATGACCTAACAGTCTTACTGGTCTCCAGAACTAACATAGACACACAAGGGCCAACATTCTCACACAGGCAGAATCTCATTTGCCATCTTGCAAGAATCAGTCTAAGTGCACATGGGCACCCTCCCCTCCCCTGCAAAATTCAACATCTGAGCTCTCTATTCATAAACATAACCTTTCTGTAAAGGTTGTCACAGCCTGTGCCACATTTTGGGGAAAATAAAATAAACTCCTCTCACACAAATGCACAGTATTCAACAGACTTCTTGTGAATGCCAAGTATGCCAGATGATAGGGCCTTGTTTTCTGAAGCAGTTGATCTTAAGGTAGGAAATTATGTGATGTCCCCCCTCTCGGCTCCACTTGAAAAGTTCTCAGAGGCTATTTTCACTATAGCCCACAGCATTATGAAAATAAACATCAGCATTTTGAAAGTAACAAACAAAAATAAAAAACAACAACTGGGAAACATTCTTTCAATGAACACTTCCTTACAAATACTCAGCAGAGTGCTAGAATGACACTCTCCCGGTCATTGTTTGGTATTATTTCTAAGCTAACAAACAAAACGTAACACACTTGTGATTCTTAGAGAAGTTAATGCAGTAACTAAATTTAATTTGAAATGTAAGCCAGCAGATACTCAGATTCTAATAATAAGCATGGACAGTAAGTTCATAGGCTTTCCAAGTGTTTTGTGTAAAAGCAGAATGAAGTTTGCAAACCCTGCAATGCAAGCATCCTCAATAGACCAGCTATATATATATATATTAAAATAAAAATAGTCATTAAGATAGTTTTTAAACAAGTCTTTTCTAGAAATTCTAAGAATCTATAAGATTAAATGCTTAAACACTGCTACATACATTGCACAGAATACGCACTTCTTAAAAAGTGCTTATGTAAATTGGCCAGGGTTTCACCATGAAATGTCTTTGCATACAGTTGTGAAGGACAGTTTAATTTCAGAATTTCTTCTACAGCTATCTGGATAACACATCATCATCAAAGAATCAACTGAACCACAGCCCTTAAAATGCTTTGTGGAACTGAGTCTTTCTGTAATGTGCAGAAGATGTGTCCAAAAAGACTTCAGTTTGATTTTTTTCTTCTTAACATCCTCAACAATCAAATAAAAATAAATCTTTATTGAGGGCAGCTCCTGAGATAGCCAGAAGACTAGTGTAAAAAGTTCCCTTAAACCATTTTCTGCTGCAGAGACTAAAAGAAAAACAATGCTAATACAGTACTAAATGGAAACAATCAGAACTTGAGAATTGAGAAAATGAGAATGGAACTCAAATGTTAGCTATTGGGGTAGCTTATTTTGTTGCTGCTAGATTAACATACATATCACAGCTCTCTTAGGAACATTATCAGGTCTTCAAGTTTAGTTTTTAGAAGTTGTTTGCATTTTTACCTTTATAAGCTAACTCTGCATACCAAATAACTAAAGCCTTGCTGTCCCTCGCTTTGGGGCTATTATAATAATCCATCCAGAAAAAACTTAAAAGATTAACAGTATAGGCAAATAGGTAGCATGATTCAATTAAAAAAGGCTTTATTTTTTGTCAGAACTATAACCCAAAACCCCAACAAATAAAGGTTGATGGGAAGTTAGCATTAAGAACTTGATTGTAACATATAGCGATATCTGGGAAGTCAAATCCTTAAGCTCTCCTGATACTAAGGAGTCTCTACAAACTATGAAGCAAATATATAACCGACTCAAAATGATAAGGACTGTGAAGGCTTAGAAGTAAGACAACATCATCCAGGTTAACTCCTCCCTCCCACCCCAACAGTGAATATATGAATCATTTACACCTAAATACAGTATATTTAATACATGGGGGGGGGAACAAAAAAAAACCCACAACCCAACAAAAAACTTTAAAGAAAGGTGAACAAAATTTGGTTTTAGGGCACAAAGAAGCCCTTTGTGGTAGATCCCAGTAGTGACCCTTGCTTATTTTTTTGTCTCCTGCAGATGAATGCAAAGTTCAACTCCACATGGATGTGATGTCTAACAGGGCAACACAGCGATCACAATATAGCAAAATGTCACACAAAAATACAGCCCACTGAAGAAGAGCTTGCATTAATATGCAGGAATAGAACATAAAAAGATCATTGGTCATGTGTTTCTCAAAAGCTACTTCATGGTCACAAACTGCTAGTGAGTGTTAATTTATTTTTTTTTATTACATTACCTTTGAATAATGGGAAAGCTTTAGGGTTTTATAGTTGTACTCCTTGTAGTTACATTTTTTAAATGACAAGATCACTAAAACTCATGCACACTGAAAAAAAGTAAAAATCATGCAGCAGTTACATTAAACCATCCAAGCAATTTTTATTCATTAATATTCATAAATACACACAGCAGCTTCATTAGAGATTTTTCATTTTTTTTCTCTTCAGTTTGAATGTGGAGTATTAGGAGAGGTTTTTGCATGTCAAGCTACAGGATACAGAGCTTTTCTTCTCTGCACTGCAACCTATATTTACCTGCTAAAAGTAAAAATTGGTTAAGTGGAAATGATTATCGTATATATCTTTTCTCTCTTCCTTTGTATGTGCACAATGTAACAAGAGTGACAGACCTGAAATTACAATCACCAAAACAAATCCAAGATAGATGTTGTCCACTTTCATTGGCAAATACAGCACAGAGGACATTGTCTGCAAAGTGGGATGCCATCAAAGAGGAGGCTCATTTCCTTTATTATTCTCTTTTAAATTTAGGTTTTCTAAAGCAACATCGAGAGGCATAATATCTACACAGCCCATAGCACCAAAATCAGCAATCTCTCCCTGTTCATCCTCATCTGAGGAGGAACTTTCTTCCCGCATCAAAGTCGACAGTAGAAGCTCTTGAACAAACAAGCTGCAGTCTGCCCGTTCACTTTCCTTTGTCTGACGCTCTGCTTCTGACATCTTGGGATCATTCAACCTGCATAGCATCACAGAAAAAGAAAAGACAGGCTTAGTAGTATCATCAACAAAATGGGCTTTCACTAATTACCTAAACAGCTGGTCTGATGCATGCTGTATAACACTTGAAAGCCATTCCATTGTGAAACCACCTAGGTACTGCTGCACTTCTTTTGACATGTACAGATCTGACAATACCTAGCACTCCTGATGCAAGAATACAGAAATTTAACAAACTTGTTCCCAGATGCTTCAAAAAAACTTCACAGAAGTAGATTCTAAGGCTGAAGGAAAAAAAAAAAAAAGGCAAAGCTATTTCTGAAGTTTCTTTCCCCTCAGAGGGGCTTCATTTTAAGGGGTGTTAAAAACCTCTAGTCATCCCTTAAGTGCTCATTTTGTCCCCAGGACAACCTCTAAATGCAAGCACGACACAAAATACATTACTACACACATAATGCCCAGAGATTCCCAAAGCACAGCACATTATCCACTTCACTTATCAGTGCATGCACCATCACCTAATAGAAGCAAGGAAACTGCTTGCTTCAGTTCTATCCTAGCTCACAATATCAGTGACTGACATTTGCAGATACTTTCATTAAAGTTATTATTAAAAAAAAAAAATTGGATTGAAATATTGTGTCCTGGGTTCATCAGTAGCAGTCATTTTTCTCCTTCTTAGTAGCTGGTGCAGTGCTGTTTTTGACTTTCAGCCTGGGAACAGCACTGATAACACCAATGTTTTTAGTTGTTGCTAAGTAATGTTTACTCTGACCAAGGACTTTCTGAGTCGCATGCTCTGCCAGGGAGGAGGGGAAGCCAGGAGGAAGCAGAGACAGGACACCTGACCCAAACTAGCCAAAGAGGTATTCCATACCACAGCACATCATGCCCAGTATATAAAGTGGGGGCAGTTACCCGGAAGGGATAGATCGCTGCTCAGGTGGGGCTGGGTATCAGTCGGCAGGTGGTGAGCAGTTGTATTCTCCTTCCTTGTTATTTCCCTTATCATTATTATTATTGGTGGTAGCAGCAGTGGTTTTGTGTTATACCTTAGTTACTGGACTGTTCTTATCTCAACCCGTGGGAGTTACATTCTTTCAGTTCTCCTCCCCATCCCTCCGGGAGCGGGGTGAGGAAGAGGGGGGTTGTGAGCGAGCGGCTGCATGGTTCAGGGTTGCCAGCTGGGCTTAAACCACGACATATTGTCACAAGTTTTGATAAAAATCAGCAGGTTAGCAATAAATCGTCCCAACCCAGGTTTCTAAACACAGAAACTGTTTAAACACCTGTGCTCTTTCTCAACATGTAACTGAGACAGACAGACAGACACACACTCTTCAGTACAGAAAAATCAATATTCTAAACCTCCTAAAAGAGCTGGAATGAGAGTGGGCAAATCTTCTATAGCATATTGGACTAGATGATTGTTTTGAGGTCCCTTCCAGTCTCTAGCATACTGTGATACTGTGACTTGGGGGTGTTGGTCGATGAGAAAATGAACATGAACTGGCAGCATGCACTTGCAGCCCAGAAAGGCAAACATATCCTGGGCTGCATCAAAAGGAGCATGACCAGCAGGTCAAAGGAAGTGATCCTGCCCCTCTACCAAGAAGGCCAATGGCATCCTGGGGTGTATTAGAAGGGGGGTGGTTAGTAGGTCAAGAGAGGTCCTCCTTCCCCTCTACTCTGTCCTGGTAAGATCACATCTGGAATATTGTGTCCAGTTCTGGGCCCCTCAGTTCAAGAAGGACAGGGACCTGCTGGAGAGAGTCCAGTGCAGGGCAACTAAGATGATTAAGGGAGTGGAGCATCTCCCTTATGAGGAAAGACTGAGGGAGCTGGGTCTCTATAGTTTGGAGAAGAGGAGACTGAGGGGTGACCTTATTAGTGTATATAAATACATAAAGGGGGAGTGTCACGAGGATGGAGCCAGGCTCTTCTCAGTGGCAAACAATGATAGGACAAGGGGAAATGGGTACAAACTGGAACACAAGAGGTTCCACTTAAACTTGAGAAGAAACTTCTTCTCAGTGAGGGTAACAGAACACTGGAACAGGCTGCCCAGGGAGGTTGTGGAATCTCCTTCTCTGGAGACATTCAAAACCCGCCTGGACACGTTCCTGTGTAACTTTATCTAGGTGTTCCTGCTCCGGCAGGGGGATGGACTAGATGATCTTTTGAGGTCCCTTCCAATCTCTAGCATACTGTGATACTGTGATTGTTGTAGGTCTCTTCCAACTGAACTATTCTATTCTATAGAACTCTAGGATGTAACTATACTTTCTGAAGCAGATAAGTATTCTGCTTATTAGTAATTAATTATTTGCTTTTTTCATCCAAAATACTTTAATATATAAACCTCTATTCAACCTTCAGCCTTCATTAAAGAATCATTTCCTATTAAATAAAGCTAGCTTTTATGTTCTCTCCTCATTATCAGCATAGAAGTTTGAAACATATTATTGCAAAGGCTCAGAAGCCTTCTGTTTTATCAGAAATAGCACGATAAAGAAGCACAGTTTACCAAAGTAATATCCTTTATGTTTCTCTTGAAATTGAGAAACAGGAAGTAATATTTATTCACTGCCTAGGAAGAAATGCACAGGAGACGTTACAAATACAAACAAAACCATAATATCTCAACTACAAACTTCATTAGGGATCTGGCAGTAGTTTCACTGAATTCAATGTCCATATGAGGACCAAGGAAAACAGAAATGGCAGAAGAGTTAAAACCACAGAAGTTACCTTGTAAGAAGAAACTGGGAGTTCTGTATAGCCTGATGATTGTTTTCTGTATTAGAAGTATTGGTTGCTGCTATAGACTGTGCAAGAGTGGTGGGGATGCTGCTCGTGTTAGTGCGTCTAGTTGCATTGCGTGCAGTCTCCAGTTGTTGTCTTGCTGCCTGTGCATGCTGTCGCTCCAACTGCAGTTGCATCTGCAGCTGTTGTAACTGAGAAGCAGAAGGGCCAGAAGAATTGAGCTGCCCTGCAGAACGTCTCACGCCTGATAATTGAGATAAGAGCTCTGCCAGAAAAGAGAGAAGTTTCTACAGTGAAATCTGTTTAAATACAGATCACAGAACAGCATAAATATCCTGAAAACCAGTATATCAATTTGTTTGCTTTATAAAACATTTAATAAATGAAATTAATGAACAATAAAGCTTCATGGGCTATCCATTACAAGTATCCCATGTCTCAAAGCCCATAGGGTAAGGAAGATTCAGAATCATCTAAAGAACTGTGCATAAATAAGAGTCAAAGTTTAAAGCTTTTTAAATGAATGAGAGCCAACCTATGAAGAATACCATATAAGCAGTATCCTGTACGACAATTCTCTAAAATTTTATCTTCAAGTCAAAATAGTTATTGACTAAGAAACCTCTTAAATTCTGACTTCAGTTGTTGGTGTTATATCCCTCCATGCACTATCAATGCATATTCTAGTGGGAAGCTGTGTGTGCTGCAGAGAAGACAAAGGTTTTTCAAATGTTGTATTATATGAAAAATATTTGACCACAGCAGGGCTTTTTTTTTTTTTTTGGTTTTTTTTTTTTTGGTGAGAGATATTCTAACAATTAAAAAAAAAAGCCAAAACCCAAAAAACAAAGAAAAAAAGTCTAGCCTGGATTCCTTTCCTCCAGAGTTCAAGACTGTGACAAATTCTGTCCATGCTAAGCATTTTCCAAAATAAATGTTAATAATAAGTTATTGCTCAGTGATTTACTACAGATTACATTCCACACAAAGTTGTGAGTACTATTTTGTTTTGTTTGATGCAAGGAGGGCAGAAGTAATAGATTATTCCCCCCCCATCCATCCAACTCTCATTAAAGCTGGAAGTTGTTATTACATGTCATGAAAATTTTCCTTCCATTTTACTTTCAAGATATAATCCTTTGAAACTAGGCTTTTCTTAGGTGAATAAAACACAATGCAGTAGCACTTTGCATCAGGAACACTTGGAATGCCAAAAATTCATGCTCAAGTCATTTGCACAGATAATCGTATCAAGATTAACTACCAATAACATTTTATTTCACTAATTAACTGATAACCACCACAAGGAGAAAAATAAATAAATAATGTTTACAGGTCTCTTAACAAGCACAAATTTTAACTTCTGGTAGCATGTACTAATAATTACCCCAATACAAAGGAAGACTTATAACACTGCCAGGTAAAACATGTATTTATCCTTACTGTTTGTAAGATCACCTTGAGTACAACTTAACAGATCCCTGGTAGCATATACGAATTTGAGACACAGGCTTGGTATGACACAGATACCCAGCCAAGCTGCACTACATTCTCTGAATGCAAAAAATATATTACTTCTACCAAACAAACAAATAAAACACCAAACCACCAAGCCAACCAAAAAACCCCAGTCAAACAAAAATCTCACAGGACTCAAAGGAATACAATTTTCTTACACATGCTCCTAAATGGGAAGGCCTTGTGAGGCTGAAATAAACCAAAGCAGCCACTTCACATTTAACTCAACTGAACTAATGCCACTGTAACAGTAAGAGAAAGTCTTGCACTCCAGGACACACAACCATCCATCCTTCCTCTAGTGCTTTACAGACCCACCACCTAACTTAACTCATTAAGATGACAGAAATGTTTTCATCCTCTTTTGCTGGAATATTTTTAGTAGTAGGAGCGCAGCCAGCAGCTCTTGGAAAGTGATTCTTCCCCTCTGTTTGGCACTGGTGAAGCCACATCCAGAGTGCTGTGTACAGTTTTAGACTCCCTGGGTTGAGACACATAGACATAACAGAGCAAGTCTAGTGGAGGGTCACCAAGATAATCAGGAGGCTGGAACACAGCACATGAGGAAAGAGTGTTTGGTCAACCTGGAAAGGAACACTTTGGAAGATTGCTGTCTGAATCTACCTGATGAGAAGATACAGAGAAGACTAAGGTAGACTCTTCTCAGAGTCATGCAGCAGTAGGACAAGAGTTAGACAAGGGAACATGAGAAATTCCAATTACAACCAAAGGGGTTTGGCTTACTTTGTGTTTTTTTTTTTTTTTTATCTCCCCCTCCCCCCATTTTAAAACATGAAGGTTTTTAAGTACTAGAACAGGCTGCCCAGAGAGGTTGTAGGATCTGTCATTGAAGGCATTCAAAACTCAACTGAATGATCTAAACAGATCTCCTTTGAGAAAGAGGTTGGAAACAGACAACCTGCAGAGGTCAATTCAAAACTTTTTTTTTCTATTATTTTTCTGCCATTTCAATGAGTTAAATCAGGTCACAGAGGGCCTGAAGAGCAGCTAGCACAACAGAGGCAAAGGAACTATGCCTATGGAAGGGGGGGGGGGTGTGTGTGGGGGGTGTGTATGTGGATTTACAGCTTCCTCTTTCAAAAGCAATGCACTCTTAAGTTGGTTCACTGCCTCTGAAGGAATCATAACCTAACAATAAGCAGCTCCATTCATGCCTTTCCAGGATCTGAAGCAAAGGCGCATAATATCAGGAACTTAGGTAAGTGCAGGAAGTTCTGAAGTTTCCCTGACACTTATCTTTCACTTAATGAGTGCACCCAAGGAGACCTTTCACTGTGCTTTTTGCAATCAGATTTGCCTGTCCCACATTGGCCTTTTTAGTTATCGGTGTGCTTGTAGTAAGTGTGGGTAAAGCTCTTCCCAAATCTTCGTCTGCAAAGTCAAGCCATCAATGAGTGCAAGATTGATGTCTTAAGATTTTACATTAGGGAAAAATATAGCTCTTTAAAAAAAAAATAATAATAATAATAAAAAATCAACAACTTGATCAATTTTTATTTTTAGGTCTTTATAGAGAAATTATTCTTGAAAATTACAAAGTTGAAAAAACACAGATTATATCTGTAAATCTAAAAACATGCCTGTGTGATTGTTAGAAGTTAAAAATGAAACATCTCCTTGAAAATTCTCCTAAACCTGACCAAAATATGACATGCAAATCAAAGAACGGTTTGGGTTGGAAGGGACTTGTAATGGGCAGGGACATTTTACTAGATCACTTTGCTCAAAGCCATGTCCAACCTGACCCAGAACACTTCCAGTGATGGGACAATCCATCCCAATGTCTCACCACCCTCATAGTAAAAAATTTCTTCCTTACATCCAATCTAAACCTACCCTCTTTCAGTTTAAAACTGTTGCCCCTTGTCCTGTCACTACAGGCCTTGATAATAAAATATCTCTTTATCTTTCTTATAAGCTTATAATATATTGAAAGGCTACAATAAGGTCTCCCTTGAACCTTCTCTTCTCCAGGCTGAACAACCCTGACTCTCTCAGCCTTTCCTCATAGAAGTGGTGCTCCAGCCCTCTGATCATTTCTGTGGCTTTCCTCTGGACCCACTCTAACAGGTCCATGCCCTTCTTGTACTGGTGACCCCAGAGCTGGACACACAACCTTGCGCTTGGTCTTATTGAACTTCATGAAGTTCTCATGGACCCCACTCCTCAAGCCTTGCACCATCCCTCTGGATGGCATCCTTTCCCTCTAGGGAATCAACTGCATCACTCAGCTTGGTATTGTCTGCAAACTTGCTGAGGATGCACTCAAATCCCATTGTCTACATCACTGATAAAAGATATTAAATAGTACTGGTCCCTGTATAGACCCTTGACAGACACCACTCATTACTGGTTTCCACTTGGGCATTGAGCTTGGACTGAAATTCTTCAGATGTTGTCATCCAGCCAATTCCTTATACACCTAACAGTCCACCTGTCAAACCCATATCTCTCCAGTTTGGAGGAGACCACATCAAAGGCCTTACAGAAGTCCAGATAGATGACATCCGTAGCTCTTCCCTTGACCACGGATGCAGCTCCTCCATCATACAAGGTGACTAGATTACTCAGGCATGATTTGCCCTTGCTGAAGCCATGTTAGCTGTCTCTAATCACCTCCCTGTCCTCCATATGCCTCGACATTGCTTCCAGGAGGATCTGTTCCATGATCTTACCAGGCACAAAGATGAGGCTGACAGGCCTGACTTAAAGTGGGAGGGACTTTGCTTCCCCAGTCCCTACCCTGAGGTTCAGGGGCTTGAGATATGTAGGAAGAGAGATTACCATTGAAAATTGAGGCAAAAAATTGTTGAGCACCTCAGCCTTCTCCACATCGGTTGTCACTAGTTTGCATATCTTATTTGGGATAGGTACATTTCCTTTAATTCTCCTTTTCTGGCCAGCATACTGATAGAAGCCCTTATTCTTCACACACCTTGCCAAATTCAGCTCCAACTGCACCTTGGCTTTTCTGGTCCCATCCCTACACATCCAAGCAGCAGCCCTATACCCTTCCCGGGATACACATCCCTGTTTCCGCTGCCTGTGCATTTCCTTCTTACACTTCAGTTTAATCAGGAGGCCCTTACTCAGCCATACTGGTCTGCCACCTTCCTTGCCTGACTTCTTGCACATGGGAATTGAGAGCTCTTGTGCTCCAAGAAAAATGCTCTTAAAGAGTTATCTGCTCTACTGCTCCTTTGTCCCTGAGGGCAGTTTCCCAGGGGGTCACATCCACTATCTCTTTAAACAACTGAAAGTTTGCTTTCCTAAGGTTTAGAGTCCTGACTATTCTTTTTACCTGGTCTATATCCCTCAAGCTTTCCTCCATTGGGGCATGATCACTGCAATCCAGGCTTACAACAATCTTGATCTCTCCAGTTAGTTTATCTATGTTGGTAAGCAACAGGTCTAGCAGTGTTTCTCCTCTGGTTGGGCTATTATTCAGATTAAAAAATTATCTAAATTTTCTAGTAGATGGGAGGGTGACTGAAGTCCCCCAGCAGAATCAGAGCATGCAAGTGCAATGCCTCCTGTAGCTAGAGTAAGAACACTTTGTCAACAGGCTCCTTTTGATGGGGTGGCCTGTATCAAACACCAACCCCAAAGTTTCCTTTGTTGGCTTGGCCACTAACTCTTACCCATAAGCTCTTAACCTGTCCATTGTCAAAGACAACTCTGTACACTCAGCCCATTTCTTTTCTTTTTTACATAAAAGGCAACTCCCTCTTCTTCCTTGCCTAACTCTTCTGAACAGTTTACAGCCATCAGTTACAACACTCCAGTCACACAACTCATCCTACCATGTTCTAGCAATAGCAATTACATCATACCTTTCTAGCTGCACAGTAGCTTCCAGCTCTCTCTCTTTCTTACCCATGCTATGTGCAATGTTATAGAAGAACTTCAGCTGAGCTATCAACCTTGTCACCTTTTCAGAGGAACATGCCCAAATTCCTTTGAGGCTTTTCACAGGTGTTTCCCTGTTGGTTCCTAATACATCAACAACCCAGGACTCCTATCCCAACCCTTTTTCCCCATTAAATCTAGTTTAAAGCTCTCCTTATAAGTCTAGTCAGCTTGCTGGTGAAGACCCTCTTACCCCACTTGATCAGGTGAATCTCATCAGCTCCTAACAGACCCAGTTTCCTAAAGGCAGCTCCATGATTATAGAAGCCAAAACCTTAAGTATGGCACCAGCTATGCAACCAGGCATTCACCTGTTCAATTAGTCTTCTTCCTGAACTTCTTCATCTGACTGGGAGGATAGAGCACGCCATTTGTGCTTCTGATCCTTTCTCAGTTGTTCTAAGGGATATATATTCTCTTTTGATGGTTCTAAGTTGCTTTGTTGCAGTATCATTGGATCCTATGTGGAATAGTAGGAGTGGATGATAATCTGCTGGGTTCACCAGGCTCAGCAGCCTCTCAGTAATATCACAAATGCAAGCTCCTGGAAGGCAGCAAGTTTCTCTAGAGAAATTGCCTGGATGGCAAATGGGTACTTCAGTGTCTCTTAGTAAAGAATCTCCAATTACTAATACTTTACATGCTTTTTCTGGTGACACTGGTTTTAATGTTGGGTGGGTGGTTGGATCAACTTTCCATGGTCAGCTTTTTCTGGATCCTGTCCGTTACTCATGTGAAACAGTGTTGTTTTCACATAACTGGGGATGGGGCTTTGCAGTATTAAGGCTTTACAGTATTAAGATTTTTCAATACTGGGGCTGGGGCTAAGTTACTAAGGGAACGAAACAAAGGGTTTGAGATACCATAACTTAGAAAGACACACTCTGTGGTTAAAGACATTATCATCTTTGGATGAAAGATACACTCTCTGGTTAAAAAGAATGTTTTTTTTTTTTTTTTGTACAATCTATGAAACTAAGCCTGTGCAAACTGGTTCTGTAGTTAAATAGTAAGTTGGGGTACCACATGTCTGTCAGAGAGTTATGAAATCGAAACATAAAAGGAGACATAAGAGGAAGGGGCATACAAAATAGAGTAAGGAGAGGTGTAAACAGAGGTGGGACAGTTAGTACATAGATTTAATGTGTCAGATAGGCTGTAAACCTTGGAGTCCCCAACCAATGGGGAAACAAGGGAAAGAACTTGCGGATGGGATAGGAAGTATAAATCATAGTTCTGCTTTTGCTGTGTGTGCCTACCTGCTGGGAGACCCGTTTTTCACAAATGTTAATAAATAGCTGCTTCACTGTTGTGTCTAACTGAGGCCTGCCTGAACCTAGAGACCAGTTCTCACACTCATGTGCTCTTTATTCTCTAACTGGACAAGGGTCCAGTCTCCTTCATCTTGTGAGTTTCTTGCGTCAGTCAGCTCAAGGTTGGATTCAGGCTTACCTTCCCCTTGCACAACCTTAAGGCAGGGCTGTTGTTCAGCTTTATATAAAATGCTTATTAAAATAGTTCTTAAAGAATTTTTAAAGAGTTAAAAGACCTCCTAAAGATCAGCAAGCCTGTCATCCAAACTGTAATCTGAAAGTAAACTGAGCACATTTTAAATGTCTATCAATAATATTCCAATTAAACCAATTTCATCTCGATGAACTCAAGTACAGCACTTGGTTTGTGCTAAAAAAAATAAGACTCATCTCTAACACCTCTGTGCACACAGCAAATTAAAGCTAGACACATTGAAGTACGTAATGGTGGTTAGAAACAATTACATTTAAAAATGCATACATACATACATATCATATGAGAAGAGACCTGGGAATCTTCAGCCTGGAAACAAGAAGGCTCAAGACGGGAGGAATCTTATCAGTGTATATATGGGGGAGGGGGGGGGGAGTGTAATGGACAGTCCAAGTAAAGATACTTTTCATCAGTAAACACCCAACAATTATAACACTGGGAAGAGTATATAAATATACACACATTTATTTTTTTTTCCCCAAAACACAGAAAAACAAGGCAACTATTATAATCTTGGATTTTGTTTCAAAGTCTATTGAAGGACTCTGAGCTAAACTCTGTGGTTACAGCTCTTACCAGCTATAGGATCCATGGTTTCTCTATTGCTTGGAGAATATGAACTCTGAGAAGATGAAAGCCCGCCAGTGGAACTGCTAGTAAAGTGCATGTTTGATCTACGTGCACGGGGGCCTCCCAAACCCCGGCCTGGGTGAAACATTCTACGTACATGCCGAGCACCACTAGATTCATCATAACCAAACAGTTAAGAAAAGTCTTTTGCTATCAAGTATTAAATAGCAAGAGCGTTTACCAGGTGGAACAATCAGGTAACACACTATTCCTCATTCATAAAACAACGACTCAAATTTTAAATGTACTGAAATCATAGCTATAGTGCCAGTCAGACCTATAGATCTGAACCCAAGGCATCCAGGGCTGCTTGCACCAAATTCATCTTTCCCAGGCTTTTTATCATGTCTAAAAATTGTCAGGATGGATTTCCTGCAATCTGGAACAGTTTTCTACTAAGTAATTTAAACTGATGATGCATATTCAGCAAAACACATTACTCAACAAACATAAAGATTTTAACATAAAAATTGGGGAAAAAGGGTATTTCAATACTGAAAATAATCTACAAAGTTTTATTGCCAGTCTTACCAAGAGCACACAGTAATTATTGCATTTCATACTTTTATCCAAGGAATTTCACCCACTCCACTCTTCAAGGAAATGCAGGTCAACAGAGAATTCAGCACTTCTCTAATACCCCTTTGCTTCATCTTCCCTCTCTTTCTCCACACAAATTCAATTTGCTCCAATTATGAAAACAAGCTCTTCCACTTTCTTTTTTTTCCCGTGTTTCTTAGAAAATGTCTATAAAAGCTATGACTTGAAATATAAGCTTTTTCATACATACTAAGAGACTATCAGCAAATAATTTAAAGATTACCTTTCCCAAAACAGTGTTAACATGAGTTCTCCTAAGACAGTCTAGCTAAAGCTTTCTTTTATCTTAAGAAACACTAGTGGAATTAACTACTAAGCTAGGAAATAATGTACTTGGACATATTTGATTTTTCAAATTTCTAAATTAGTACCTTTAGCTCACCTTATCTCCAATTTTCTTATTTTCAATAATAGCATGTTTATCACTTGTATAAAATCTATTACTTTTATCAGACCGGTGCCCAACTTATCCTACAACGTACGATTATGGTGTAGAATTCATTTCCTCATGAGTTGAAAAATTTAATACTGGAAAACTATTAGACTTTTTTTGGCAAGTATATATAATACATATTTTCAGGAAGAATTGACTTTTTCAAATTTATTATGCTATAGAGCATAAAACCTTTCAATTGCAGGGTTTGGGGAGGGGAATCTCCCTTGGGACAGAATATAGTTGTCTAGCATGGATTGGTTTGCTCTTGCTTTCAATCTGTTGATACTGGATAATGGTAGTGACAGAACATGGGCACTGATATTGACTACTGCTCTCATGCAGTTTGGGAAGCTTTCCATAGCTACATCTGACAGAAAAATGCCCCCATTCTGGGATTTTTATTTTTTTTTAAAGTAAACTTGGGAAATAAGATAACTAGAACATGCTTAATATAAATCCTTTGGAAAATTCCAGCCTTGATCTCATTTAGAAAAGGATCTTAGTAGCTTGCTCACTGCACCTTTGAAAGTGTTAAGACAACATTATTTAAATATTAGTTTAGAGTATATTGATGTATATCATGTATATTGAGTATATCACCCAACTATGCTGGGGGTAAAAAAGCATTGGGAACTCTTTACACATTGCAAACATATACTGAAAGCAACCAAGCTAGAACCATTTATATGGTCAAGATAAAAATTTGTTTTAATCAGTAAAACACTTGAAAATCGTTTAAGAAAGAAACTGGAATTTATTCAGCTGTTCAGAGTCTCCAGGGATAAAGGTGATATCTTGCAGTGGTTGCACAGGATTCTTCAAGAGAAATATGTGCAGCCATTTAAAACAGCTTTAAAACCCTTCTAACTACTACACAGAAGACAATATCCTTTCCTAAACTGCTAGCAACTGCGTGGGGGGAAATCTTTCCCCCCTTTTCTTCCTTTAAGTCTTAGCTGTCAGAAGACGTGAAATAGCACCCAACATTGAAGAGTTAGTCCAGAAAAATTTTGTCTGTCAAGTTTTATGGACTTGGCAACACTGACTGGTAAAGCAGTGCTGTACAGAAACTTCCACATGCATTTTCTATAATTATTTATAACATGGTCCAATTTATAAAGCTCCCCCCCATCAGTGTCGTGATGACTGACACTGTGGCCTTTACTCAGTAACTGAAAATATTATTTTGATTTCTCTAACTCTTATGTAGCTAATAATAAACACACATTTCCCAATTATCTAATCACTGATGTGAGAGAGGGAGAAAAAGATCTAGAAGCGTGAATTCTAATACAACACCTCATTCACTTTAGTAGGAAATTATGATAACTGTGTAATTGGGACTGACTATTTAAATAACAAATTTAAATGTAAATACAGATCACAACCAAAGTGAAACCACTTCCTATAATGTTGCTATTCATAAATATAATGAACTTGAGTTGTTAGGCCTTTTTTTTTCTTTTAAGAAGCCCTGAACAAAAAAGGCACTATTAAATTACACTAGTAGTGTATTTTTTTAATGAGATACAGAAAGATAAATAATTTATAGAGATCACTTAACGAGAGTTTTTCATGATGGCTTGTACTTCCATGGAGTAAGAGTACCTTCTAAAATTATGTTGTAGGTATTGTATAGCAAAAACACAAGCAACATTACTATTCCTAACACCAAGTAACATAAAAGAAAATTGTACTTAAAGTGCAAAGAAGCTGACAGTTTGAGCTCTTCAGTCATCGAGGGTAGTTATATCACTACAATCTGCATATAACTGAAAGACAGCCTTAATTCCTAGGGAAGTCTCCTGATATCTCTTCTAGTTATATCTTAAAAAAAGACAATAAATAACAGGCTGGAACTACCCCATTGAAATATGGTGATAAAACTAATCAAACACTTAAACCCACTAAATTTCAAAGCTCAAAGCATTCTCTAACACATTTGCTTTTAGTGAAATTTACTGCCTTTAGTCTTGCAATTATTTATAATACACTACTGCGTCTGGGTTGCTGCTTTCCCATACGCAAAATGGTATCAGAACTAATGACCAAGAAGGGTAAAAAATGCAGTGCAGAAAGAAGCAGCAAAGACATCTTTAAAAGTTTTTGCTATCAGAAATAAAACCACACACCCACATTTCCAAGCTACACCTAAAGCCCATTCACAGTCTGATAGATATAAATATATATACATATAAAAAAATCAGACATACAGATCCCCTATAATTAAACACCAATTCTAAAAAATAAGCAAAACTGATGTAGCCACTTGACTACAGAAGTCAAAATAAGTAGTTACAGCTATCATAAGAAACAGTATCCCTTTTCCCTCAACTTAAGAAAGGATATTAAATCTCTAGGAGCTCTGTGTTCCAGTGTAAGATGAGCTGCAAAGTCATCTGTGACATGATTAGGATCCCCTCCAGGTAATGCTGCACATATTGGACAGATCTGAAACAACAAAGTGAGAAAAAAAAAACAAACACAACCAACTTTACATAAACCACTAAACACACAATTCAGAGTTGATCACTTGACTTTAAATGTCGCATTCTAATCCTATATCTAAACAGCCATAGGTTTAAAACATTAAATGTATTCAAATGCAGCTGTTAATTTTAGTATCTTTTTAAGACACACTTTTCCTTGTAATTATGATTTTAATAATACCATGAAAACAAAAAGAAAAGTAAAATTTGCACATCCTATCTGCAGTGTTTCAGTCTGGTTATGCAGGATTCCTGCTTGTATGTACCTACATATGACATTATCAAGTTTATTTACTGTTCTTTGAATCCCCAAGCAACTTCTCATTCATCTCACCAGAGAAGTGTGATAAGGAGAATGAAACCAGATATGAATATTCATTAAAGTATCACCACTGAGAACACCCTCTGAAGTAACATGCAAGTAGAGATTTGGCAGTGAAGAGAAACTCCTTATTCTTACCAAGAATTTTGTGAGATAGCATTATAGCTTTGGTTTTTCCTTATTCCTAAACACATATTTTAAAAATTCTAGGGACACTTACTGCCATAGCAACCTTCATTTATTATTTTTTATTTTTCCTCCCAATGACTTTGCATCCACCTGAGAGAAGTGTGTCTTAAAAGTCCTTTGCAACAGTTTTGCAGGGCAGCCTTAAAATTTGACAGATCACAGGTTAATAAGCCAGAAAGGAGATACTTCCATACAGTATGTTAGGTCTTAACTACTCTTCCAGGGAGATCAACCTGGACTTTGCAACTGATAAGACTGTAAACTAGGTGGGAGACCCTGGGCACCAGACTGGGAGGGGTGAGGGAATCAAATGAACCATGCAAACTGATGAAGAGACATGCAGGGGTAAGAGAGAGCAGGGAGGAACAAAAGGGAGGGTAGACAGAAAGGGTTATAAAGTGGTCAGGTCACATGTAAAACAGAGCTGGTCAGTATGTTTGTCTGGCTGAGCTCTGAGCCTGTTCATTGCAGTCTGTCCTGTCTTCTTATATCTTCTTATTAAATCTTAGCAATCTATCTGCATAATCTCAGTCTCTATCCCATGTATATGTGTGCTGCAAGGACTAAGTGCCAGCAACTGGTGAGACCTGTGTATGTGTGGATGAAATTTGGTGCCAGCTATTAGAGTCAGTCTGGGGCTGTAGGTGCCCCTGTGGTGTCAGCTACTGGAACAAGTGAGGGTCCCAGCATCAGTAGCTGGAGGGGCCATAGCTCTCTAGACCTAGGGCAGGTACTATAAACTTTGTGCTTGGAGTGCTCACTACGGGGGGATGTCATGAGTGGATTTAGTGCCAGCTACTCCAGTCAGCCAGCATGAGTGAGGTGCCCAGCACTGGTGGCTGGAGTAGGACCACCAGTCACAGCCCATGTGGTGCCTGGTGAGAGCTGCTAAGGTAAAGGAGGAGAAGGTAGGTGTCTGTATCTTGCCCAAACCTGTTGTGCATGTGTACTGGCTAGCAAACTTCAAGATGGACTAGCCAATGAGGAGGGAGAAGCCTTGAGTCTGGGCAGGAGTATGAAGTAGGAAAGGGTCTGTGCTAGTATGCCCTAAGGGAATTTGCAAGTGTTTAGTGCCTGTGGGATGAGTGCATGTGTGTTTTCTAGTGGGCATCAAGCAGGACTAGCTGGCAAGCAGGAAACCTGTGTGTTGTGATTTAGACCCAGCTGGCAACAAAGTACCATGCAGCCTCTCTCTCAACCCCCCCTTCCCCCCTCCCTGGGTGGGATGGAGAGGAGAATCAAAAGAGTGTAAAAGCTGCAGGTTAAGATAAGAATATTCCAATAAGTAAAGTACAGTATACTACTACTACTACTAAGGGAAATAATGAGAGGATAGAATATAAAACTAAGAAAAACAAAACAAAAAAAAACCCCACAAGTGATGCCCAATACAATTGCTCAGAACCTGCTGATCGATACCCAGCCTGACCCGAGAAGTGATCTGGACCTTCCAGGTAACTCCCCCCAGTTTCTATACTGGGCATGATGTGCTGTGGTATGGAATGCCTCTTTGGTTAGTTTGGGTCAGGTGTCCTGTCTCTGCTTCCTCCTGGCTTCCCGTGCCCCTCCTCACTGGCAGAGCATGAGAGTACTTGGTCAGAGTAAACATTACTTAGCAAGAACTAAAACCATTGGTGTGCTATCAGCACTGTTCTCAGGCTAAAACTGAAAACACAGCAATGAAACAGCTATTAAGAAGGAGAAAAATGACTGACACAGCTGAACCCAGGGCACCTTTCTAAAAATGGGGGTTATATTTCCCTTTTCCAGTCAGCAGGAACTTCACTGGACTGCCATGACTTCTTAAATATTATAGATAATGACTTAGCAATGTCTGCCAGCTCCATCAAGACCCATGGATGTATCTTATCAGGTCCCATAGATTTGTGCACCTTCAGGTTCCTTAGATGGTCTCAAACCCGATTTTCTCCTACAGTGGACAGTTCTTAATTCTCCCAGTCCCTGCCTTTGCTTTCTGTGACTTGGGATAGTTGCTTGGGTCAGGCTGGGTATCAGTCGCCAGGTGCTGAGCAATTGTATTCTCTCCCCTTGTTATTTCCCTTATCATAGAATAGTTAGGGTTGAAAGGACCTTAAGATCATCTAGTTCCAACACCCCTGCCATGGGCAGGGACACCTCACACTAAACCATGTCACCCAAGGCTTTGTCCAACATGTCCTTGAACACTGCCAGGGATGGAGCATTCACAACTTCCTTGGGCAACCCATTCCAGTGCCTCACCACCCTTATAGTAAAGAACTTCCTCCTTATATCCAATCTAAACTTCCCCTGTTTAAGTTTTAACCTGTTATCAATTGTCCTATCACCACAGTCACTAATGAAGAGTCCCCCACCAGCATCCTTATAGGCCCCCTTCAGATACTGGAAGGTTGCTATGAGGTCTCCATGCAGCCTTCTTTTCTCCAGGCTGAACAGCCCCAACTTTCTCAGCCTCTCTTCATACGGGAGGTGCTCCAGCCCCCTGATCATCCTCGTGGACCCTCCTCTGGACTTGTTCCAACAGTTCCATGACCTTTTTATGTTGAGGACACCAGAACTGCACACAGTACTCCAAGTGAGATCTCACGAGAGCAGAGTAGAGGGGAATCTTTATTATTACTGGTGGTAGCAGTAGTGGTTTTGTGTTATACCTTAGTTACTGGACTGTTCTTATCTCAACCCATGGGAGTTACATTCTTTCCGTTCTCCTCCCCATCCCTCCAGGAGTAGGGGGGGGAAGAAGGGGGGAAGTGAGCAAGCAGCTGCCTGGTTCTGAGTTACCGGCTGGGCTTAAACCATGACACTAACAAATTTGTTGGCCTTGTACAATGGGGCTACAGCACTGGTGGATAAGGAAAGAGCAAGTGGTGTCATCTACCTGGACTTGCACATGGCATTTGACACTGTCCTGAATGACATCCTTGTATCTAAATTGGAGAGGCATGAATCTGATGGATGGACCACTCTGTTGCAGGATTTGGCTGGATGGTTGCACTCTAAGAGTTGGGATCAATGGCTCAAGGTTCAAGTGGAGATCAGTGATGAGTGGCATTCCTCAGGGGTTGGTATTGGGACTGGCACTGTTGAACATCATTGTTGTCGACAAGGACAGTGGGATTGATGCACCTTCAGCAAGTTTGCCGATGACACCAAGCTGTGTGGTGCCATCAACACACTAGAGGAGAAGAGATACCACCCAGAGGGACCTGGACAGGCTCAAAAGGTGGGCCCGTGCAAACCTCATGAACTCCAACAAGACCAACTGCAAGGTCCTGCACCTGGGTCTGGGCAATCCCAAGCATAAATACAGGCTGGGAAGAAAATGGAGTGAGAGCAGACCTGAGGAGAAGGACTTGGGGGGTGTTGGTTGACAAGAAGCTCAACATGACCCAGCCAGAAAGCCACGGTGACGGTGGCAGATTTAAATTCGGCTGAAACTCGCTACTCGCATTCAGTCAGCTGATTGGAGCTAGCCCAGCTAGAGCCGCAGCCGGCACGGTACAGCGACCGCGAGCTTCTACCAAGATTCGGAAAATCAGAGGGGATAGCGCAGAGCCATCGCGATTCCCGACATTTCCCAACACTTCCGGATTCCCGAAGTTCCAGCAGCCCTTGCGAGAGAGCGGCTGACGTGGCGGGGGGCGTTCCCACGGTGAACGGCGACCACTCCCCTGCCCCTTGACTTGAAAAAGCCTTTGAGAGGGCAGCAACGTGTCGCTGCCCACCAGGTGAAGGGAAGAACAGGTAGGTCGTTGGTGGAAGATCTGCTTAGCTTGGTGGCTGAACTTAAGGAGGAGGTTGAGACGCTGAGGAGCATCAGGGAGTGTGAAAGGGAGGTTGACTGATGGAGCAACTCCCTGGCGTGCCAGTTGGAACGGCTCCAGGGAGATACCCCCCAAAAGGGGATGGACCCCCTGCCCTCTCAGACAGAGGGGGATGGCCTGAGACAGCCCCTGTCATGTAGCTGTCACCCAGAGGTAGGGGACCAAAAAGATGATGAGGGTTGGAAGCGAGTTCCGGTTCGGCGTTGTGGGCAGCCCTCCTCCCTTCCTGCCCCGCTTCCCCAGGTGTCCCTCCGTAATAGGTTTGAGGCCCTGGATCTTGAAGGAGAGGTAGGTGAGGATGTGGTGCAAGGCCCACCTACAAGGCCACATAGGAAAATGCGGTCGACTTCGCACTTCAAGACTGCCTCTGGTAAGACAGAAAGAAGGGTCATTGTAGTAGGTGATTCCATTCTGAAAGGAACAGAGGGCCCGATATGCAGAGTTGACCCTCATCATAGGGAAGTGTGTAGTCTGCCTGGAGCCCGGATCAGGGATATCACCAGGGCGCTCCCCAGCCTGGTGCACCCGACAGACTACTACCCGCTGCTGGTCTTCCAGACGGGTGACGAGGAAGCTGCTTCCTGCAGTCTGAGGGGGATAAAGAAAGACTACAGGGCCTTGGGGCGG